GCAGATTCCTAAATAATGACTTCTTTAACAAGGAATACTTAAATTACCAAATCTAAAAAAAACTGAGTGTAAGCAGTTTTACAGTTATCTACCCAGAACAGTATTGATGAACCTTTATTTTTTTTCAAATCAAGCTTCACTTCTAACTTTTCATCAAGAAAACACACCACCGGATGAACCTGATGTATTGCCCATATTTGATGATTTTCCCTGAAGACTGCCCTTAAAGCGTGCGCGTAAGACAGCCACAAATCCAGCCACACTCTACAGAGACAGCGGTGGGCTTACCAGAAGCGCTTGATGATACCAAATAGGGATTGCTGTGGATAACCTGCAGCCCTTTGGAGCGGCCATTTTCGGGCAATTGACCCAATTCAACTTGACATCGGCACCTGCTGTCTTCCTCATTGGCCACATCTGTAAGACCTCAAAACCCCCGAGTGTGGTTCTCATCTCTGCTCAATCAAAAGTTCAAAACAAATTCTCTTCAAAGGCCTTACTTTCAACGTCCAATACTTTTCAAAGCATAGTAGTTTTAACCTTTGATAGAGCACACAGTTTCTTCGAGGTTGACATTGCTTTCAAAATCTTTGCGTTGATTCACCATAAAACATCCACAGTCTCTACACGAATATGATATGAAACAGAGCTTTTTAGAGCATTTGACATACTTATGGCATCTTTACTTGGGACACTTTTTTTACATACATATCCTGCAGTAGTGGGTAGCAATTTCATTTCTGAAACACAAACTTCTTTAGCTTCCAGGATCACCTCCATAGTCCATGACTGGTAAGTGCTGCTGCTGCTGCTGCTGATGATGATGATGATGGTTACCGCTAACATAACTCACTATCTGTTTATTTCAGCTAGTGGACAGCATTGTGTTAGCCAGGAAAAAGTATCTAGGTTTCAAGATATCCTTCCATTTTATCTAGTTTCCAGGCCTGCGTGAACATCAACAAAGATAAAGATCAGTTTCGAACAATACAAGTCGCTAAACGTAGAAATAGCTAATTCAATCATTGTTTGGATTGACCTTGTGAATGACAGGATCCTTTCACACTCACACTCACTATCCAGGATTTGATTTGATCCTTTGAAGACTTAATTCCTTTTCATAAAACTGGCTGGCACGACTAGACAAAGGAAACATCCACAAAGCAAGTGCATCAGATATCAATCATTTTTTAGATGTCAGAGACTGGATTCTTTGGTCTACGAGCTGCCTGCCCCACTTTCAGACAATATATGGATGGATTCTAATGGGACGCCACGTCTGGTTTTGACACAGGGAAATGACCAATTAAAGATGAATCACTCCGTACTTTCAACTTAAGCATGGATGGAGAATTCATCGCACTCCTGGAGATGACACCTGACTCTGCATTCGTTATAACTGCACGTTTCCTCTGCACAAGTCTTAGTCATGATTAGGCTCATGTCCAACACGTACACACAGAACAGTGACACTTCTCAAATCAGTATGCAACCCAAACGTCTTTCAGACAAAAGTCAAAAGGATTTTTTTTTCAAAGTGACGAAGTACACGTGTAAGTTGTGATGGAGCATATTTTTTTAGAAATACCATGCATCTGAGTCTGACATAAACTAAAGAAGATTACTAAAGGAAACAGTACATATGACATATCATATGAATACTACTGATTTCAAACACTGATTCTGTCCAAATAATATTTTCCTCTTCCCATTAGCAACTGAGTTGCATGGTATCAGTTTGCTCTTTCAACACCATCGTTGCAGTCTCGATCACTTTCATTTTGTTGAATTGTTACTACTTTTGGACTCGGCATTTGCATGGACTGTTACAAAGGGTCTTTCACTTCAAAGAAAGGTATCAGGTGCATTCAGTGTAACCTTGTTCACATTGTTTGTCGTGTTCTGCTGTTCTTTCATACCTTTCTGCTCACACAGGAAATCCAGAGTCTGGGTCTCAGTTTCCAGACGCACAAAAATCTTCTAAACAGGAAATCTCATTTGCTACAAGCATAGTCTAACCGGTAGTGCCAGTAGTATGGTATTCCAAAATATGACCTAGATAAAGTGCATAGAAAAACAATATTGCACAAAAAGGAATGTCCTTCAAAATCCTTTCCTTACTCTAAGTATCAATCACTAGGGAATATCTAAGTATCCATTATTAGCCAGTTTTCATAACATAGGTGTCATAAGCAAGATAAAATATTGTTAAGTAGGGAAATAATCTGGAGATTAAGAAGACTTATTCCTTAATGCGGGGCTCATCTGTTCTCATGGTTCGTGGGGGTTGGAGCTGGGGGCAAAAGGAAGGAAGTGCTTACATGGGCTAGCAATGACTAATGTCACATAGCTCTCAGTACGGTGAGAGCCGAAAAGTTTGTACTTTAATCAGCTTCCTGTTCAATTACTTGGAAATCCTCACTGATGGGCATGGGTTTTCTGGAAACTCACTCTCTCACTCACTATCGTCTGTTGTTCCATGTCTTTCGAGGGTTAGACATACATTTGTAGATGTCATGGATGTCGTGCCTTGATGGCAAACAATTGCAAAATTGGAGTCTAAAATTACTCTAAAGCTTTGAGATAGGGCCTTTATCATATCAGAAAAAGTATTTTTATGACAAATGGGACTATGTAAGACTGGGGATTACTATATTACTATCCTTACACCAACGTTTTTACTTCTCTCAGTCACACATACTTGTTGACATGGACCATACGTTGTTGCGTATCAGTTCCTAGGTAGGTTCGTAAGCATTTACAAATGTAGCAATGAGAAACATTTCCCCTTGCAGATTACGGCCCAATCACAACCACTGAATTATTGATAGAAACGTTTAGGTTACCTCCAATACTCCGTTACACCAAGGAGAAATCAGAATGTGCACTTTGAAGTCAAGATGAATTTTTCATTGTTGGCCCAAATTACACTTTGTTGGAAATCACAAGGGGCAACCTACGCTGTAAGATCAAATACAGGTGTCAAGATACCGCTCCGAACTTACTGTATCTCAAAGGACAGACCTTTGAAATTGGCTCTAAGCTTTTTTTTCTTCAATGTTTTTATGTAACCGCAGCTTTTAAGGGCTCAGTCAGCTGCTTTATCACTCTCTGAGTCATCACCAAAAATCTCGCAAACTTTTCTGATTCACCTGAAGTGTGTTCACAATGTTTTACCAGCATCGGTGTGACGGAAATCAAACCTGGAGTAATTTGTAAGAGCAATAAAGTCAGCTCCTCTGAGGAGGCCGGTCCTGGATACCTTCATCAGCGTTCAGCCATCTCAATTAACTTTGATCCTTACATGTCCCTCTTCGTTAATGGACCTTCCAGCTTGGGTAATTGTGTTTAGACTGATGAGAAAAGAAGAGGGTCAGGAAGATCGATGTGGACGTAAGGACAACAAGTCAATGCTTGGCCCGACAGAGACCATTCACACATCTCAAACAAAATCTATACCGACGCGAATTGGTACGATGAAAGTCCTAAATGGCTGGGGGATATAGCTGGAAATTGGATGGCCGGAATCGCGACATTAGGAACAGAATGGAAGATATTTGGGGGGAAGTTTCCTTTCAACTTCAGAGATCAAAATGTCGCCTCCATGGCAGGACTGCCATGCACGGGGAGGTGGTCCTCTGATGTCAGCCCAATGACAAATTCACCAGCCTCACTAAATGGAAGAGATGGCCTCTTTACATAAATGTCCAACCAGTTCAGCAAGGAAAGCCTGACCTACAAAATAGTGCCCATGTCCATCCATACAAATTGACCCTGAAGGAAAACCTAGGCTGGGATTATCTCCTGCTATCTTGAAATTAGTTTGTGTCTTATGAGCTGAAAATCTCGCAAATTCGTCTGCATTACCGGCAACACGCAATGTATGTGTTCCGACAGTCGAGAATGCACTTAGCGGTGTGGTGCTAATCAACAGGTAGCTCACCAAATGATGCAGATGTGTACACTACTGGTAACACTAATATTACAGCCATTTGTAAGTGCAGTTTCAAATAAACAAACGAAACGGCAAGCTTAAGAAATTGAAGATTTCACACCATGAAGCACCAAGGGTTGTTATTAAATTCTTGTTTTATTCATTAATGTGAATTTCTTGATGATTCTGTCATACTGCACTGTCACTTCCTCCAAGTCTGTGGAGAAACTATCGGTATTTTGACCTGCACCTCGTAATATTTGAATACTACTATATAGTACTCAATTTCTACATCCAGGAGTGTAATAATTCTCAAAAAATCTTGGAAAGTCTCTTTGATGTCCAAGCAAGAGCATTGCAGAGAACGTGCATATGAAAAGAAAGCGTGCTCGTTATTGTGCTGAATGGCAGTAAAGTTGCCACAACAACAGGAAAGATGGGAAATCACCATACTTTGCAACAGTATAAGGATGAGGCTTTGTACAGAAGAAACATTCAAACCTTCAGTTCCCACAACACAGCAGATCAATAGTTGAAATCCTGTACAGACTGGTATAAGGAAAAGCACAGGTATGCAAGACATTGCACAGGATAAAAGTACCTGGGGAAAGAAGACTCAAGAAAGCAGAGGCTGAACAAATAGTAATACCGGTACAATATTTACAAATATATATATTTTGATAAGTCACTTACCTTGCAGGTTTATCAACTTTTTTGGCATGAATGTTAAATTGTATAGCAAAATAAAATCAGTAACCAATTCTTTTAAATATGTGTCTGACAAAAATTAAAAGGACCAAATTAATATTCTCCACAGTAATTTTCAATTTTTTTTCATTTTCAGTAAATTTCCAGAGAATCAAAAAACTATCTCAAAAAGGCAAAGAACAGCGCATCAAATTTTAGAGCTATTCCCAAAACAAATTTGAAAAGGTATTTCACATTATACCAGTTACATGTACATCTTCCAGAAGAGGATCTTGAAGTTAAAATGTTCTTGTACTTCTGACAATCATTCAATCATTCATTCCTTCTATGCATCTATCCATCCACCCATCCTTCCTACCTTGGCTGTACATGCTGAAGGCATTGCTGACAGACAAGGGTGTTCCTGAGAGGTCAAACGTGCTGTTGGAGGAGTGGGGGGTGAGGGGAAGGCTGCCCAGGCTGTCTCGCAGACCCAGGCTGTTCCTGCTGTCCTGTTTGGAGCCGAAGCTGTCCGCTGCGGAGCGGGGCGTCACCGGGAGGCCTGACATGCTGTCTCTTCCTGCCATGCTGATTCTTCCCTCATTCTTCAAATCCCTGTACCCATCTGAAAATATTACAAGAGTAAAACACTTCAGTCCACAGTTTTCCGTGAATAGTTTCATCAAGTCACTGAGAACAGAGACTCTTTTTACACAACTTTATTCACAGCCGATATTTCGGTGACTGTCTGTCACCTTCCTCAGGCCAATTCTAACCAGTCCAAAGAATTTCTCAGTCAACATTTTTTTCTTTCATCTTTTACTTGATGCCTGAAATCAAAGACAAAAGTTAGTAGGAATTGCCCAACAATCAAAAGTCCCTCCACACTGTCTTTCACTTCAAACATCGATCAAACCCAAGGTATGATGATTACCTTCTTCAAGAAGGTTATGTTTCTGGAATTTGTAAGTTTCCGTTATCATCATCTCATAAATATGGAAGAAAGATGCATTTACACAGTTTTACTGATTCAAACTTCCCTATTTTGTAATACAAAAGGCTGTTTAAGTGATATAATGTTGAGCATGATTTGCTTGCAAGGAATGTTTAAAAATAACCTGTGATAAATACATGTATCAGGTGAGACTACTCTGCCTAGGGGACCATTCTATCTTGAACAATTAATTCTGGCAGACTGATTACATACAAGTTTTCCAGTGACTACAAAACTAATGTGCTAACTTAATCAGTACACTATACCACAGCAGCAACTTTGTCACATGATGTATTGATGTAATAATACATTAATTCTTTCATCATCTATCTTGGAGAATGCAAATTTGCATTACATTTTATGTATGCCATATGAAGCATGAATAATATGGCATTGCTCAAATCATTACAAAATGCAACATGTTTCGATACTCGTTAACAGTTTTCCACATTTTTGTAATTTGTACAAGTAAAAGTCACAATTAAGTTGGAGGTTGAACATTCAGTGCGCAATAAACTGTTACTTTGATTAATCTTCTTTGATCTGCTTCATTTCTATGGTTACTAAACAACTACCAACATTGGGCATTAGCGATTAAACAAGGTCGAACCATTTAAAAATCCTGTCCGCCATATGGTAGGGGGCCTTGCCTTAGGCAATGGTTTTGGAGCTTTCCGTCAATACATCTGATACATTTTTCTCCATTTTAATGGGGAAGGCATGGGTTTGGTTTCGACTGATAACACACATAAAGGGGCAACGCAATGCATCAAATACAAACAGCCCCTGGAGAACAATGCATTGACATAGAAAAACATTCACATTTATCTGAATCAACAAGACATAAGCAGCAGAATCAGGTCATCCATTGTTGGATCATTTCAAGGATGACACAATGATAATAGGTCAAGACAGGTGTTATCACCCAAGTGTGAAATGGACAGGTATGTCAGAACTTGCAGGTCCAGTTCCCTTTCTCTCCACACAACAGACAGGACCTGACATCCCGCATCATTTATTATTACAACAGGGACAACTTGAAATAACTGTGGAGGACAAAACACACAAAGGCTTCTGATTTCCTCTTTATCTATTATTAATTGTCTCCCAACCTATTGACCCTTTTCTTTTGTAGCAACATCAAATCTAATAGCAACATGATAATGCAGCTGCAATGTACACTTCAAATGGATGTTCCACCTATTCTGTGGCAGTTCACAATACTGATCGTGAGTGATAGCGGTGAAATATTGCCTGTCCTCTGTCACTGTCACTTTGAATTTGGGACGACACCGGAAATTTGGAATCGCTTGCAAATTTCCGGAGAAAATATCTTGATGATTTAGATACGCCATGTGTGGCAGAAGCGGTTAGCGACCCCGCTGCTTTGCCATCTGGATCGAAATCCGTGGATCCAGAGGGCGGGGGTTCAAACCCCGCTCATGCACTTTATGACGGCATTGCACCAGCAGATTTAAAGGGGACATAAGCTTCCAGTCCGCATGTATGCCTCGGGCATCAAACGCAAAAATACCCAACACACTTATCAATTACATTTGTAAGTGCTTGCCTTCCCTCCTGTCACTCACGGACCAATTCACAGGTACTATAATTTATGTGGAACCTTTATAAAGACCATACAATATAGATATCTTGTATAAAACATGTAAGCATTGTAGCATTTACACCATTTTTGAAATGTAGAAAACACCTCTTCAAAATTACCAAGTGACACCTGTTTATTGAGTTTTTAAAACAAAAATATGAATAAAAACATGTTGTAAAGTTATCCCAAGGCCAAGGGCAAGTTTCATGTCGGACCAATTGAAGTTGTCAATCCCTCTGTTCATTACCTTCACTCTGGAGGTTTGCATAACATTCTTTGGGCAAGAACAGTTGCCGTCTCTTATCTTTGAAGTTGAATAACCTTGCGTCTAGGAGGTTGTTGACCATCCCTTGAAGGCCATTGAACCAGTACAGTAGACACATGGCCTTGGGCAGACTGCCAAACAACCAAGCCTTCATAAATACACCAGGTGAGTCACACCGCAGGAATGGGGTCAGCTTTTATACCATGTCAAACAACAGGTTCCTGAATTCTCCAACCAACGGCAGGATATTAAATCACGCCTCGCCGTACAGGTTTCCATCAATGCTAATGATGCAGTTTGATTACACACTAATCCACAAGAATGGGAAAAATCTCGCTTAAGTCTTCCCTTCCCAGGTACGTCATCCATTTCGTAGGATGCAAGGAATTCGCAATGATATTACAGGAGAAATTTATTGGGTCATCAAACAATATGGCTGGTGAGTGTGTTTGAGCGCAGGCGCAGAGACGACTAGACAGCCCGTAATCAAGTGGTACAGGGAAGGAGATGACAGGCAACTCTTTTCTCAGCAATATGATTGATCACATTTGATGGAGAAATTGGTTGATGTAACTTTTTTTCTTAAGAATTCCACTTCGTTTTTTCAAATTGCTATCTACTTCAATATATGATCCAGTCACAAAACTCTCATTTACAGAACATTTATACAACTCTACATGAAAATAGTTGTCCTAGCAAGAAAAAATATGAGGAAAAGTGAGAGTATCTCATATTATCTCTTCTTTGCTTACTCAGCAACATTACAGTATCCCTTAAGTTTACGTTTCCTTTCTCCATCTATCTTGAACTCTTTGCCAGTCGCAAAATATCAGTAGACTTTTAAACTTTTTTTTCAACAACTGCCATAGTCCCCAGCCATACTCTTCATTCAAGTTCACATGGTACCATCATGGTGTAAAAATTGTAGTCTGATCTCAAATTTTATTTCTTAACACAAACTTCTGTCAAGGGCAAGCATTTATTCTAAAGAAATTGCAATCACTGTTATCACATAATGTGGAAACAGGTGTAGTACATTGTGTCTTCATGGCAAAGTAGGATTATTTTTATTTCGTCCAAGACACAAAAATATGGCATGCTTTGCTAAGGGGAGGTATAAGAAGTTACATAATATCAACAACATTTACATGGGTTTACTTCGGGCTTCCTTGGTGCTCGCTCAGCCATGAAACTCGGTAGTTCGCCACTTTCCCCCTGATATATCATCAAGTGGTTGTGGCCTAATTACAGCAAGAAGCAATTACTCCTGCCTGGATGCTGCTTGATCTATGGTGTCTCCCCACAAACAGATCCAAGGTTCTTAATAAAGTGAGTTGTGTGACATCAGTGTTATCTGTGCCATCTCCTCTGGGCCCACTAATGATACATCTGGAGACTTTGATCGTAATTACTGGGCCATGTCTAAATGGACGCCTCGTACATCAGAACACAGAGCGCTGCTATCGACTTCTATCAATGATTCACTGGACATGTGCTACTTAAAGAGCAATAAAATGCCTGTCAATTTGTAGGTGTCACAAGAGTATCAATAGGAGCTCTAACTTTCCGTCTTTCGTGGAGACTTACACCAAAGACCCATGAGGCACGATGTACAAGGCAAAACAAGATGACAGTGTTTAATTTTTCTAAATAATATGAATGCCTAATACAATTTTAAAACCCTGGAATAGATGATGTTACAATGGATCAAGTCTAATGGATCGAAAGTTTTCTGAAGCTGGCATATCCTCACATTTAGCTATATCAATTTTAGCATGTACAATTATACAATTCTGTCATCAACAATTGAGTACTGTTTCCTATCCTTGGTTTTTTTTGGAAAGAAGTAGATTTTTGGACGGTGATGAACAAGCAAAAACCAATGCGTGTTAGTTAGGATGTCTCTATAAAATGAACTTTTGTTGTTGATCACAAGAACCAAAAAGGCAATTGGAGATGGCAGACCTCACCCCTTTCATGTATGTCAGAAACATACACACACAGACATGACAAAAACATTACATAATCTTTGCCCCATGGGAGGAGAAATAAAAAGGAATAATTATTGATATTCACAATATGCACATCTCCAAGGCAGAGGCAAATAACATATCATGTAATTATGCAAATTTAACCTCATTTGCATATATCACCCTTCTCCCTGCTGCTCCTCAATGCCCAGAATCTGTATTGACATCAGCAGTAAGGTGGAGGTTATTAGCATTTCTGGTGACGTGTTTCAGTTGATGGGAACTGACACTGCAGATCTTCTTGTGCAAAACAAACCTTATTGCCTACATTGATAAATCAATGACTTCCTTACCATTATTACTGACTTGTCTTCCTGGAATATTGATCATTTTGATAAAATAGGAAATTACACAATACATACCCTAATACCCTGTATTCTTATTGCTTTAGACTTATTGCTATAGTGATTGATGATATTCAGTACCACACCTAAAATAATGTACAGTCTAATTCTATTTCATGTATTTTACAACCATAAACTGTTTTTAATTCACACAATTCATGTTAATTCAGAACTCACTAACGAATCCTCATTAAAATACTCCGCATTTCATAAAATCAATATCAGTGCAGTACAAGTGAACATCAGCTGAGGAACTACCTACGTTCTGTTGGACTCATTATGCTAACAGTGGCAAAAGAAAGACTTCCCCTGGCAAAGAAAAGTAACAAAAGACTCACTTATGGACAAAATTGATACCCGTGTATGCGGAGAAAAGGGTCACTCTT